GAAAAAGGGGAAGACCCTCATCGAGATGGATTGACACAGTGGCTGCAATGATGGGCTCAAGTATAGCAAGGATTGTAAGGCTGGTACAGGACCTGGTAGTGTTTCATTCTGTTGTACACAGGGTCGCTATGAGTCAGAGCCAACTTGACGGCACCTAACAACAACAACAACATCATGGAGCTAGTGGTTACCATATTGGGCAGCACAGCTCACAAATTCCTTGTAGGATCAGATCGAGGCCAAGACTTTGCTTAAAACTACACCCTTCCTTGACTTCTTTCCCTTCCAACTTCTTCCCTTACCCCCTTCCAGTTTTCTCCTGGGAGCACTTGGTAAACGACTCACTTCCAGACTTCACTACCTCTTCCCTTAGTTTCTCTCTCTTAGATTGATTCTGTGATTCAAGCACTATCTTGAATTCTCTTGTTTTATTGAATGTTGAATTCCATTCACCACAGATAATTCTCTAACTCAGAGCTGAGATGACCTGGCAGGGGTGCAAGATGATTCAAGCATCAGTTGGAAGATTGGACCAGATGACCATTAAATTCCATTCTAATCCTAAGAGGAGCTGTACCAAATTTCTCTCAGAGTTTGCCCTGCATCACTCAATAGTTCATTCAATAGACATTGTAGGCCCTGACATTGTCAGATACTATACTAAGGAGAAGGAGTTCTGGTGGTGTAGTAGGTAAGGCATTTGGCTGCTAAGCAGAAGGTCGTGGTTCAAACCCACCAGCTGCTCTGTGGGAGGAAGACAAGGCAATCTAAAGATTACAGTCTTGGAAACCCAATGGGGGTTGCTGTGAGTCAGAACTGACTTGATGGCAGTGGTTTTTATGCCAAGGAAACCACAAATACAGGTAAAGAAACAGGCATAGAAGGAATGAAAGTTGGGCCCATTGCCATAAAGCATACAGAGAAAGAGTTGTCTTCTGCCTGGTCTAAAAATGATTAGCTACTGGATGGCAAGAGTCAGATCTGCTTTGCTTTTGTCCCCAGCAAGCAGTCCTTTGGCAGAGGAGGCAAGTACAGGTATGTCATGCTTAATGAGCGTTCAGGCAACATCTGGCAGCATATATGTCTGTGGTCCCTGAAGGTTATAATAAAGTTCAGAAATCCTGGTAGAACAGAGACACGGAAGATGTACTTTGCTAAGTAATGAGATTCAGAAATCCGATCTGTCTCTCACTAGCTCTCTGGGTCCCAGGACCTGGGAGGCAGGGGGAGGGTCCTATCATCCATCCAAAGCTGTCTGTTCTATTGCACTTGCCTCAGGTCAGGGACCCCACAATGGCCCCCAGAGGCACCAAGGGGGATACCCTGCTGAGGCCACTGCCCCATTTGGCCTGGCCTCCCTGCACACATGACAGCCTGGGCCCAAGGCCTCAGGTTCTCTGCCAGTGGTGGCGGCTGCTGAGTCTGGTGCAGGCTGCAGTGGTGTGGGAGAAGCAGCAGCAAAGGTGGCTGACAGGACTGGCGTGTGCACCATGGCAAGCAGGTGAGGGCAGGTGCGGCTCTTGGAGGTAAGGAGGCGACCACGCAGGATTGGAAGCAGCAGAGCCAAAGTCTTCACCTACCCTCATGGTGCTGTGGTGGTAGCATGAGTCCCAGCACTGGTGACCATCCTGCATACCTCTCTCTCATATATAATATGCTTTGTCCAATGTCCAAACCACATACTACCCTATTTCACAGAATGTATTGTGGATGTTGAGTGACACAAAACCACTGCCATTGAGTCAATTCCAACTCATAGCAACCTTACAGGACAGAGTAGAACTTCCCCATAGGGTTTCTAAGGCTGGATAGCTTTATGGATATCTTTATTAATATCTTTATGGAAGTAGATTGGCTCATCTTTCTCTTGTGGAGCAGCTGGTGGGTTCTAACCACTGACCTTTGTTGGCAGCCAACCCCTGCACCACGAGAACTCTTTCATACCTCTTTACAATGCATTAAAACCACACTTCACATGAACAGTAAATGTGCTCTGAAGGTCCTAAAATCCAGACAGATGCTGGCAGTCCCAGTACCATTACACAACTGAAGAAGAACTTGTTATGGATTTCTTGTGTTGAACAAGCCTTAAAATGTACTAGTGGAACATTCTCATGTCACATTCTTCATCTTTGAGCCACAAGTGAAGGTCTTTGTTTAATGAATCTCCTTGGACTTCATGAGTACATATACATATGCCCACTCTGTCTCAAAGGGGTTGCCATGGAGACTCAGGAAGGTGGCTAGAAGGGACCATCTCAGAGACATCACTATTCCTTGATGAGGAGGAGCATTTTGTTCTTTTGTTTCTGTTGTCTCATGTTTGACCCTAAATCATATAAATTAATGTATCTAGCTAAAAATGTGTCACTATATTCTTGGGGATGAAGACACTGGTGGTTTAGCAAGAATTCTTGCCTTCCATAGAGGAGACCCAGGTTCAATTCCCAGTTGATGCACCTCATCCACAGCCACCACCTGCTGGCCAGTGAAGGCATGTGTGCCATTATGATGCTGAACAGGTATCAGACAGACTAGGAACAAAGGCCTGGTGATCTACTTTTCCTGAAGATCAGCCTATGGATCACTATGGTCTGATCTGCAACTGATCATGGGGATGTTACATGCCCAGGCAGTGCTTCTTTCTGTTATGTGCGGAGTGACCATAAGTTGAAGGCCAACTCAACACCAGCTAAGAACAACAACGATATGTTTGAGGAGCTCTCAGCTCCTGCTGCAACGATAAGCAATAATACAGTGAGTTGAAATATTTGTAATTGCTTCAAAGAGTATCAGACTGTAAACAAGCCATACCCCAATATAAGACCATTGCTACCTGGTGGCAAGAAGGGGGTATGTGTGAACTGGGCTGAACCAGGCCTCCTTCCTCCGGGGCATGCTGTCATAAATTAAAAGGTCCTTCTCCGTCAGCACAACCATAACTGGCTTCCACTGCTTCTCATTCTCCCCCGGCACCTGGAACAGAAAACAGGAACTGTCAAACAACAGCCTGAGAAAAGCGTGGCTGGAAAGCAGAAGTTGGCATCCTCCAACCACAAGATCCAACAATAGGATGACACGTCTTCTGTGCAGCTTGCAAGATATGGGCAGAAGCAAATGATGGTCCCATGATCCTTGATCCTTGTAAATCTGCTGTCTCAAGGGCCCTGGGACATACTGTCAGTGCAGACAAGAAGCTGCCCAGCTGCCAAACAGCTGTCACTGTGTCTCACCTGCCACTCGGTGCTGAAATCTTTAGTTTATAGAGGGAGGCAAATGCTTGGGAGAGTAGTCTCCCCAATGGTTCTCCGGTAGAGTGTGATTTTTTAAAAATGAAAAGGTAAGGTTTGAAAGCTTTTGAATAAATATTCAAAGGCTCTGAAAAATGTATGAATGAGACAAAGGTCTATCTGAGCAGGTATGAGACATTACCACCCCTTCCCTAGTGTCTCTCTCTCTTAGATTGTTTCTGTGATTCAGCCACTCTCTTGAAATTTCTCTTCTTCTATTGAATGTTGAGCTCCTCTCACTATGGATAATTCTCTAACTTGGCAGGGACGAGAGAAGGTCCAAGCTTCACTTGGGCGATTGGACCAGATGACCGTTAATGTGCATTGTAGGTCATATCTTAGCTCATAAGCTTTCTCTCTGACCAGGCTTAATCCTTCCCAAACTCTCCAAATGTTCTTTGTAGATGAAAATGCCCTCCCTCCAATATGAACCCTGGGTCCTAAATCTTTATGCTCACTTTGGAACAATTCAGTGCCTTCGCCTTATTACTCAAAGCATGGACCATGTTCCAGGAACATCTGTATCCCACCTGGGGGCATGCTAGAATGCAGCATATCAGGTCCCCCGCAGGCCTATTCAATCAGAACTTGCATTTTAACAAGATCTTCAGGTGACTGATCCCTGTGCCCATTAAAGATTAAGAAGTGCTGCTCTGGATGAGGCTACGATTGTCTTTGACACTGACAAACAGCTCAGCAATGATGCAGCCTTCTCATAGCAAGCCACTGCCAAACTCTATTCAGAAATAACAAGTTAATAACATGTTAAAGAAATGATAAAGCTAATGAATGTCTTCCTTCTCTATTCTTATTACCACGTTTTCTCAAGTGCGACAATGAAATCTGTACTGAGGTGGAAGCAGGTGTGAATGGCTTTTGTTTGAAGCCAGTATTAATGATCAGGATATGAGAAATGAGGGATCATCAATAAGAATACGTGCGGGACAGTGTGAGGGTTGAGTTTCATAGGTTGTATGTTGAGACAACTGAGTCTGAATCCCAGCTCTGCCACTTACTGTCTGTGTGACTTTGGGCAGGAATCATTCTCTGTGCTTCGGTTTCCTCGCTGATAAGGATGGCAACCCTGCTGACTCTGGACCTCACTAAACTCACTGCCGTCGAATCAGATCCGACTCGTAGCGACCTCTCCTTGGGTTTCCGAGGTGGTATCTCTATGGAAGTAGATTGCCCAACCTTCCTTCTGAGGAGCGGCTGGTGGGTTTAAACCAGCAGCCTTCTGGTTAGCAGTCAAATGCCTTAGGCACTACACCACCAGAGCTCCCGACTCTGGACCTAGAATGCCTAGAATACCTGAAATCCAACCCCAGCTCCACAACTTACTGTGTCTCAGTGTCTTTATCTATAAAATGGGAAAATAATAGTACCTATAACAGAAGGTGTTACAAGGATTAAATGAACTAATATTTATAAAGTGTTTCAAAGAGTGAAAAGTCAGCATCATGTATGTGGCTTGTACGGAGCACTTCCCTTGTAATGCTGCAGTGAGGATTAAGCAAGACAGCGCATGCCGTGTGCTTAGCAAGTACCTGGCAGATGGTAAAGCCTGTGGTAAAACCTGGATGTGAAAACTGTAGCAGACCGGCTGATTTTTAAATGTGCAAAAGATTATCTTTTAGAAATGGCAACAATACAACAGGGCAATGACTTTCCTTAAGGGGAAAATTTTTAATGATAAAAATATACATAACACAACATTTGCCAATTCAGCATTTTTCACATATACAATCTATTGACACTAATCACATCAATCTTATGCAATGATCCCAAATATTCTTTTAAGAAAAAATTTAAAGCCAGCCAAGAATATCCTCAGTGCTGACAATTTCAATACATTTTGCTTCCATCTTTTGGAAAGCTCTCTCAGGAAAAACTTACTATACAAAGATGACCCTTATTTTTTAATGCCCCTGCAATAATTCCAAATAATCACTCCCTTTCTAGAAGGAAGAAACTCACTACAAAGCTATTTAGACTAGAATGTGAATGACTGCCTAGTTTATTCCTCCCCTAGGGGGAGAAAATCTAGCTTATTAGATTTCTATTGCTTTTATAAGATTTTTCTCTAACAGCAGCTTCAAGAGATCAGAATGGATTGTTAGAGGAGCCAATGTGCCTGAATTTACAAGGTGAATCTGCTGTGGTCTCAAGGCATAGTGTTTGGGGGTTTGGAATAAATTTTCCCCAGCCTTTACGTTAGTAAATTACTTTTTCAGCTCATTAAATAGCACTGAAAAAGCTACAAATGATCCTCCCAAAGTGACTCTGTGACTTACCTAGTAAGATCTGATCCATTAACTTTGACTGGAACAAGTCATTTAAATGTGAATATGACTAAGCATCATTCTTCAAAAACAATATTAAGTCCGCAAAAGAAATCTCGACAATAAAGACTAAAGTAAAATACAGAACTCTGCTGGTTCACACACAAACTCACACACATGGCAAGTGGCATATGTAAGACTAAGCTTTTCCAAAGCCCTATAATACTCTGCAATATATATTAGGGTCCAGTGTTGTGTGAATATATTAACTCTGCTGTGAGGCCACCATTCCTATGTGCAGAACGGCTATTTTCTTACTGTCTGAATGCTTGAGGGTAGAAGTGCCCATGAGGGCAAAACTTTCCAAGGAGAAAATTTTCATGGTGAAGAACAGGGATTTTAAATCATTTCAAAGCCTTTTTGATTGTTCAAGGAACAATTTTCCTCAGGATCAAGCATCTGTGTTACTGTTCTAGTGAGAACTTCCATTATAAATCCCAGTTTCCTGGAACCCAAAGATATCCATGTGTTAATACAATGGTTCTGGGAATGTGTCTACATTTCATTAAATATGACGTCTGAAACAGATGTGATGACTTTCACCTCAATCCCAGTTTCCTGCCATTGGACGCTAGAACTGTCAGTTTCTTAAGAATGAATCATGTTTCCAGTGAAGAAGGCAAAGGAAACAGATAAATAAACATTCAATTCTAAAATTATTCTGAAGCATGGCTTTGATGAGCTGAACCCTGTTAAGAGGAAGGCAAACACCGATTTCTACTCAGCTTTCCTGGAAAAACATTTCATCAAATGCCTTTTATGACCAGTGGGACATGTATGGGGCCCTTCCATCTTTTGCCTCTTGTGTCTTGGGATACTAGTACTAGTACTTGTAGTGTGCTGGCATCTGGCGAGGACACACATAACCGTTTGTAACTGTAGAAACATTGGGCGGTGCCATCACGGGGTCTAGAGGGTATTGAATGAGGGGGTGCAGCCCAGAGGTGGCAATCTGTGAAACTTCTGTCTTTTTCACTTGTGTGCTGGGAGGTCAGCCTGGTAAATATGTACAGTTTCCTGTGTGTCACTTGGAAGCTGTGTTTTGGTGATGATGTAATTTTCAAGTAAAGAACTTAGTTTCAGGCACAAAACACGCAAATCACACAAATCTTTACGCAAATCATGGGAGCCTTCCGCTTTGCTTGCCAGCTGCTCCCCCGCCCCTCAGGCATTTTCATAATTCATGCTATGCTAATTTTTGCTTATAACACCATGTAACAAGGAGGGCAGATGTTACCACTTTCCTTTTGGCTTGCTTTCACTAGGAAGCTTACTGTGGGCCTGGAAATTGAAAGACTAGGGTGACCCTCCTTTCTTGTGAAGAACAAGCCAGGAGTCAGAATGACCTATACCCCCCACTTGTTGGAAAGCATTTACCTGTCAAGGGAACTAGAAGGTGAAAAAGAGAATTACTAAGAAGAAGGAGACTCACACAAGAATTATGTGCCACCACTGCAGGGTGCCTTTATGTGTTACCGTATGTTTCCAAAAGTTTCATGCAATAAAATACATTAAACCAAAAAAACCAAACTCACTGTGGTGGAGCTGGTCCTGACTCATAGGGACCCCTCCTCAGGTTTCCAAGACAGTATCTCTAGGGAAATAGATTGCCTAGCCTTCCTTCCCAGGAGCGAAAGGTGGGTTTGAAGCACCAGCGTTCTGGTTAGCAGTCAAATGCTTTAGGCACTACACCACCAGAGCTTCTAAGAACAAATGCCTCATCCTCAGAGTCTTGAGGGATATCTGTCTCCCACAAAATAGTTATTACCTACCAAAATTTTAACATGACTCAATTATTCGGCATGCATCCTCTTACTCAAAATACTCATATGAACACACTCTAACAAACATACAGTACTTCAGTCATAAAAGAGTTCAACACAGAATACAGTGAATGAATCCCCATATTCATTTCTACAAAGGGTGGAGGAAAAGGCTTATAAAATGGGAAGGAGAATTTAAAACCTATAGTAGCGTGTCTTAAAACCTTGCACGCAGCCATCTAAGGTGCAACTACTGACCTCTCCTCATCCGGAGCAAAGAAGAGTGAAGAAAATCAAGGATGCATGGAATCAATTAGTCCAAGTAGACTAGTGGACAGAACCTCAGCCTACCTGACCGAAGACCCAAAAAACTGCATGGTACCCAGCTACTACTGCCAATCGCTTGGAAAAAGATCAAATTTGGAGATCCTGGAGAGAGTGGAATGTGGAAAAAAAAAAAATTAAAATCATAAAAAAGACCAGTTTTACTGGTCTGTTAGTAACTGGTGAAACCCCTAGGACTATAGCCCCTATTCACCCTTTAGGCCTGGAGTTGAACTCACTCCGGTAGCTTAACTTTC